ATCCTTTGCTTTGAGAAAAGATCAGTGAAGGTCAGAGTGAGTTATAACACCCACTAGATGGTTGTTAGACCAGTGGTTCTTAACCTTGTTGGAGGTACTGAACCACACCGGTTTCATATGCGCATTCACAGAACCCTTCGGTGATGGCCTAGCGGGGTGGGGGGGGGTCATCACAAATCATATGAGTCGGGTGTGTGTCTTGTCCTCCGCCGAAACCTTGGGGTTCGGTTAAGAACCACTGTGTTAGACATAACATTGGAATTTTTGTTTGTTTTGTTGATTGTTAGGTTGACAGTTGAGCTCAGGCAGATTTCTTTTTTGCAGATGACATTGTAATATGTGGTGAGAGTAGACAGCAAGAGGGGAAATCTTGAAATGGTGGAGGTTTACTTTGGAGTGAAGAAGAATGAAGGTCAGCAGGAGTAAGACAGAATACATGTACATAACGAACAGTGAGTAAAGTGGAAAGTTGAAGTGGATGTTTGAGTTCCAGTACCTAGGGTCAACCATTAAGAAGAGTGGACCGGGCAAAAAAGAGGTCATGAATAGAGTTATTTTAGGCAAACTTTTGGCACGTGGGTCACAATGAGGTTTAAAAAATTTGTGTGCGGTATTATCGGAAATATAAGTCGCAGCGCAGTATGTGCCATATTATCGGAAATATAAGTCGCAGCGCAATATAAGTCGCACCAGCCAAAAAAATGCATAATGAAGAAGAAAAAAAATATCTAAGTTGCGCCGGAGTATAAGTTGCAACAGCGCCCTCTAGTGGATGTCAGTGTGATAATAACGAACATGCAGATTTTTTCAGTGGTACAGGAGTAGCAGATACTGGTACACAAGCCTAGAGTGATCTCTAGTGGCTGTCAGTGTGAAACAAAAAACAAACGTGAAATTATATATTTTAATATATGTCGCAAGCTGCGCCAAAGGATGAAAAAAAGTGCGACTTATAGTCCTGAAAATACATAAATAAAGCAGCGACCCTAAAACTTCCCGGTCAGTTTACGTCCTTGGAATTACTTCTATGAAAATGCATTCTTTACTTTAAAAACACTGTAAGTTCCTCTTCCACTATTTTTCAAAGATTTTGGACAAAAATGGAAGCTTGGAAATACGTCGTAGGAAAATACATATGTTTTTTGCCGCCCTTGGAAAATACGTCTTAGGAAAATACATATGTTTTTTGCCGCCACTGTATCCAGCTGATTACAAAGTGCACAGTGATTCTACAGGAGCTGGCTGTGAAAGTAGGACTCAAGTACCCTGAGGGCATGCAGGCTGTGGCTGGACACCGTGCCACACAGACTGGGCACCAAGCCTAGGAAGTTGAAGAGCAGCCGACCATCACACAAAAAAAAGAAAGAAATCCATGACAACCGGCAGCTTCATCGTTCAAATACATCAAAGCAGTTTGACAGGATACACAAATCAACAGTTGCAGCGCAAATTAGGGTTGCGCACGTGAGCGATTCCCAAACAGCCACACCAAAAGTGATGAGGGCGGCAGAAATGAGAAGAGCGATCGTTTGCTTTATCATCCAGTTAATAAGCATGGAAAATCAAAACAATGGCGGGGAAAAGCTGCAGTTATCAATTTTCTCATCATATGTAATAAGCATCGAGCGCTGTGTACTGACAACGGTAAGAGACACATCAAAAGGAGTTGTGTGACAGAGGTATAATCTGAAGGGCTCTCTCCTGAAAAGGCCTCCAGACGAACTGTGTTTTCCAGCACCTGAATGAACCGCATTGAAGACAATGGCCCGGCCATTTTATTTTAGGACTTTCCATTTTTAGCAAACTGGCCACAAATTGTTGCATCATGTTCCTCACGGTGTTCACATTTTGTTGTCTTTCTTGAAGGAGGGAGGGAAGAATTTTATAAATGGGTGGTGTTTATGTTATCGCTTTGTCAAATCAGTCGAAAAAGAAAAAAAAAACTCTCAAAAGATAGGATTCACCCATTTAAAATAGTCAATAAAGTACATTCAGATATAACGTCGCGAGGACTCGACAACTAAAAGTAGGCGAAGTTAGCGAAATGGAAATAAATCCTCATATATGTAGGATTATTATGAACGTAAGTGTAGTTTTAAACACTTTTTTTTTTTTTAAAGCGCATCATGATGTCTCAATTTGAAAACGGCTACACGAGACTTTGGTTTGCGATTCGTGCGGTTTCAAAATAGCATGTGGCTCACAAACAGCATGGCAAATTAAAAAAAAAGAAAAGAAAAAGCATGACAGCTGCGTCCATATCCTTTTTTTGTGAATACAGATCACTTGCAAGTGGAGCGCAAGATGTGTATGTAGCAAATTTGACAAAGAAAAAACCCCAAAAACAAACAAAAACAAAACAACGTGGCATAGAAGGCTTGAGCAGTTCATCAAGGAGGCAGTAAAAGTGCCTTTTTTTTTTTTTTTTTCCCTGCTTTGCGGAGGAAAATGTGATTGAAGTGGAAAGGAGGGAGACAAAATGAACAATAGCTGCCATGTGATTGAAGTGGAAAAGAGGGAGACAAAATGAACAATAGCTGCCGAAAGAGAAAAGATAGAGTGGTTTTCAGGCAACCTTGCATAGATCACTGTGGGGGACAGTGACGCCAGTTGCACAGTCACTCTGTTCTCAGCACGCTCGTAAAGGACACTACAATCTGTCATTATACCAAACCAGAGCTATATATAGCTGGAGCTATCTTAAAACAACTGTCAGGAATCATAGTTCATAATTTGATTTTAGGAGGATCAAATATTTCCCGTGAGTTCTGCAGTTCTGCTGCCTTACTGTTGCTTGAGTGTCTACTGATATATATATATATATATATATGTATATATATATACATATATATATATATATATATATATACGTTTGCAAAATGCTGTTATTGGTATTTATTCTGGGTATAACAAAAAAAACGACTGGGGGGGTGGCAGTGAGGCCAACTTTTTTAGGCCACAGCACACGGTGCACAAATGTACAAAAACAAACAATAGCTAATGAAATATAATCGTCTATAGTTCGTTACGTCTCCTCAATTGAACACAAAGCTGATGCCGTCGCAGGAATTGAAGAAAGACAAACAAAGATTTAACTAAACAGCTCAAAGTCAGCTCCTTTTTTTTCTGCAATACCCATTCAACGAGTATTCAACGTTCTGTCTGTTACAGTTACATTGACGAACTTAGACAAATAATTAGCAGATTAAGTGACATTTTTAAAAAATAATTTTCAGGCGTAGAATCTTGGAAATT